GACCAAGAGTCCCATAAAAGTGTAGGGCTGTATTACCCACGTGGAAATAAAATGTCATCAAACTAGAAAAAGATGACTGAATCATCATTCTCTCCTACAATAATCAAGTCCTAAAAGCTCCCATAGCAGAGATTCTGAGAACACCTGGAAGTTTTGAAAGGAGCTCAGGGAGAAATTAGTTGAATGTCAAACAGCTGGTGTTCAATAAGGAAAGGAAAACCTGCGCTATGTGTTCTGCATAGCCTGAGACCACATATCCAGGGGAAGCATCATGGGAGAAGACCTTTTAGAAGAGCAAGGACAGATGCCAGGGGAAGGCGACTATAGGTCAGTCACCCACTGACGCAGACTGTCCTCCACCAAGGAGGAAGATGAGGTTGCATTTTGCCAAAACAATCAAAGTGGGAAGTGCTGACGCCACTGAATCGGCTCCCTCAAGGTCTGTAAAACTTGTAAACCTGAATCAGCTCACAGGTTGATATACGACTAACATTTCAGCAGATGATGACGTTATTTAGATCCATGATGAATTCTGTCCCATTGTCTACTTCTTTAGCCCCACAACCTTCTTTGCTGATGAAGACTTGTAGAGTTGTTGTCTATCTGTCTGATAATCTTGCTTTGTATTGAATGAATTGCCCTGTGATGAAAACGTATTCATCTCAAATGAAAGAATCCATTACTGCTGCATCATCGTCCTGCAGATAAATTGTGCTGTGATGAAGGTGTCACATCCATTGGATTAAATCTGTTTATGTGCTGTTGATGACTGTTTATAGTCAAACTAATGTTTTGCACCAGTTTCTTCCCCCAGTGCTCTCTGTAAATCATTTTTGATGAAAATATTTTGTCAGTGAATCAGAGCTGCATTGAAAAAAATCACTGTAATATCACAATCAACAATTTTGTCTAATCACTTTCACCTAAATTTGTTTGTGCCATTTGATGCTGGTATAAAACTCCACAACTATTACAGCAACAATCAATGAAGCACAAATGAAGTAAACTGCACCATCAACCTTGCTCACCCAAGAAGGAAGCTTGTTTTCATCTCACGTCACAGCTCTTATGTGCAACAATTTTGCAGCTGCCATCTACCATCCCTTGTTGCACACTTTTGTTTAATTGATTTAAGAATTTCAGTGTTACCTGTCTTAATTTGAAAAAACAAAGACAAAAGAGGAAAGGTTTTACTTATTCAGCAAATATGGGATTAGCGCTGCAGAGCACAGCGGTTGCCTTGGTTGACTGACATTCAATTCTCATGCCATTGTTCTTTCTCTTTCCCTTCTCTTCTCTGATCTTTGAATAACAACGGCTATGAAAACCAATCTGGTCCCAGTGCTGCTTCCATGAATACAATTTGACCCTGACATGACATCATTGTCTGGTGTCAACGACAACAATGTCACATTCAATCCAGTCAATAAAAATGAAAATAAAAACAACACTTCATATGCTAATGACTCAATTTCCTGCTTTCCCAATGATGAACGAGGAGAGCTTGGGATGTCTACAGCTTCTCCCTGGATTCCTCTGTATGAACATTACAGCTGATCGTTCACAGATGTCTTTGGTTTTTAAAAATGTATCTTAACATTTCATTTCTATTTCATGTGATGCATTGTATGTGATAGAAATCGTTACAAGTCAACATTTCATCTTATTTTTTTTTTTTTTTCATTTTAAGCGACCTAATAACAGAGACCTAATAAAGTTTATACTGGCAGCTGGTTACAGGCTATTTTTGCAGAACTATCTCAACATTTTCGATTTTACACCAGAAATATGTCAAGGACATGAGCCAATTTAGAGCACAATCTATTTGACTATGGGTTTTGATAGTGTTGGGTATTTGGTTTAAAGTGATGCTAATTAGTACACGTTCTCTCAGTCAGCTTTGCTCAATGTTGATAAAAAGGTGTAGCATGCAAACAAGCAGGCATAGCTAATGACAATTTTCTTCATGTGAAACCATTACGCGTCATAGTCAAGGTTATTTGACTGTGTGCAGTGAAAGGCTGAGTGTATGGAGGTTTTCCATCCTACCAAAAACAACAGTGATTTTGCTGATTAGTTCCTCCACTCTGGCGGAGGTTATGTTAATCACTTAAATTACTTGCTGGCATGAACTCTAGACCACTGAGCCAACAGGAAGCCTCATTTTAGATGTTTTTTTCATGACGTATCATTTAATTATCACTAACTGTGGTATTAGCAAAAAACCTGTAATCACAGAACTCATACATGTTGCTACAGTTTGGCAGTGATGGCGATACATTTCACTGAGGACTCTGAGTGTCCCTGGAGAATACCTATGCTCAGTTTCAGCTCAGATATTCATACTGTGCACCAGATTGTAAGGGGGTGAGACTCTGTTGATTTTTCAAAAACAGTCAAACCAGTCAAACCAGTGACTGCAAGACAAGTCAGTTAATCAGTTAACAATTCAACATGTAAACCGTATGAAATATATGAACCATGATCAATGCCTGAAGGAGCTGGGTGTGAAAGGTCATTTTCTTTTCATATAAATGCTCTTATAAGATGCGGAAATAAAAAATAAAAAAACTTGGCAAGACTTGGTGTGTGTTCAGATCTGAACTTCTACAAAATATGAGTTTGTAACTCTGTAAGCCGTAAACAAAATCCAACTCACAGTCAGTGAGCCAGTTAGACCAGTCCATCACATACCCAACTGACCACCCAGCCAAACAAAAACATTTTCTGCCAAAGAAGACTGCATATGCCTCAATGGCTGTTCTGGCTGTTTTTTTTCTTTGTACCTTGATTTCCGGAAAACATCTGCCCAAACAGTCACAACTCCTAGTTTTCCCCTGCAGGAAATCTGTAAGCCAGCCAGCTAACCAGTAAATTATGCACACAGCCAGTCACTTTACAGCCCAACCCAACCATACCCTAACCCCTCACTTAGTCACCCAGTCGACTGGTTGAACGTATGTTATTAAGCACCTTGACAGTGTTTCCACCAATTACAGTAAACCAGCCAGCCCATCAGCCAGCGGACCAGTTACACTGTTGAGTGTGTGCTCATGAAGCATGACAGTTTTCCACACACCAATTACAGCTAGACAGTGGTACAGCTGTGTGGTGGCTTGGCACTCAGCCACACTATAAGTACCCCTATCGATTGACAGAGAGACACAGAGAGTGCATGTGGAGAGCGGGTGAGAGAGACAGTCATGCTAAGTGAGGGAGGAAGATGCAGAATGAAAAATAAAAGAGGCAGGCAGACTGAAACTCCCAATCTCTGTCTCTCTGTCTGTAATGGTGTAATCATGCATGCAGTCACATTCAAGTGTTGGTTTGTTTATCGCATGTGCGTCTGTATTCATATGTATGTGTAAACCCAGAAAAAACAGAGCAGCAGTACAGAGAAGACTCGGATGAAAAGTGACAGGCCTCCCTCATTCCCGCTCTTTATTTCTCTCTCTGCTGTCTCTTTTGATCCTGCTAATTATCGCAGTTTGACAGTGCAGTAGAGGAAGAAATACAGAGGGCGAGGGTAAGAAACAAGCAGAGGAAAACAGAAAGAACAAAATCGTTTTTGCAACAATGAAATAAGACAGAGAAAGCAAGAGAAAGAGACACAAAAATACTGAGACAGAGAGGGAGAGTCTCTAAAGCAGCTATCCAGCCCATTCTGTGTTAATGAGGGCATGAAGTTATTAACTTAATGGAGCCTCAATGCTTTATTTAACTCTAAAACAGATACCACAAAGTTGCCCACCATTCGCTGACCAATTGCAACAGACAAAGGAGTTGGCATGGTCGTAATACACTTTAGAATCCATTAAATATAATGTACTAGTGAGTGTAACTGTATAAAACATCAGTTGAATAATAATTCATTTCAAAGGACTATGTCATTACTGTGTATTACTTCTCTACACACAAAAACATTCACAGTAACTTACATATTTATGCACTAGACTGCTAACTAGCTTTTGAACATAGTGTTTGTTTGGCAGTTGAAGAGCGTGATATTTTTCTCTGTAGTTGGTAGAAAAAAAACAAAAACACCTATAAGTAGTATGAATGTTGGACTTTGGAGATTTGTTTTGTAGAAAGAGCGTTGATTACAAATGAAAGCTAATGTCACCTGGTGTCTTGTAGATGTACGGTTTGCTAACCCATTCGCCCAGTTTATAAGGGGATAATATTTTTATGTCATGTTGCAGCTTGTTTCACTACCGCTAACTGGCCCATAAAACAAAGAATGCTTGTTCTTTTATTTACAGTGCTGGAGTCCCTATATGTTTAGCCTAATGAAGCATAAATACTTGAAGCAAGGGGAAGTCCAACTCTATCTGACTCTGTCCAAAAGTTTAAGATAACATGCCTATAAGTACAAGCTACAAAACAAGTACAAGCTAACTAGCATCTTGTTTGTTTAACTCAAACAAGAAATGTAAAAACAACAGTTTGTTTATTTTTTAAGGGGTTACAAGTTTTTTTGTCACAGATTTTATCAGCTGCAGCTAGCTAGCTAATCAGCCCCCATTTTTTCATAATAGTGGTCCAGTAGGCCACAAAATGCTCAGAGTGGACCCATTTAAAAACCTGTCTGTTGCTCTCAGTACTAATTTGCTAATGCTAATGCTGTGCTCACCAACCATCATTGGACAGAGCCAGGCTACTGTAGCTGTTTCCCCCTGCCTCTATTCTTTATGCTAGCTAGGCTAAATACGTGCTGACTCTAGCTACACAGGTTAAAAATTGACTATCTCTTATCAGAAAGAAAGCAAAAAAAAAAAAAAGAGTATTTTGGAAAATGTTAAACATTTTTTTCAAACAAATGTCTACGTTTTGAACTGCCACATATTTGCAGTAGCCCCCACTGTGAGCAACAGGTGCTACTATTAGTTGGAAGGACATTTAAAGCCATAAACCCAGAACAGCATGTCTACTACATTCAGGTACTTGAGTTTGAAATTACAGTGCATACTAGACAGTACTTATTTAGCTCAAGTACTTACAGCCAGGAGTATCTGCAGCGAGGAGTGAGCCACCTCTATGAACTGAAAATCCATCAGACAGCCAGATATAGATATATATCGGTGGTCCTCGGGTGCCCAGGAAGGGGGAGGGGTGATGGGTGTCACCCTGCACCCCGGGCCATTCTCCATCCACCAGGAGCGATGCATGGACAGGTTGAAAGTCAGCACAAGGTCAGAGTCCTGGCAAGGCAGAGAGAGAGAGATAGACAGACAGAAAGTGAGTTGAATTACATCCTCTGACAGAAGACAGATCGGGAACAAGGCCGAGGCAGGCTGAATGTCATGGCAGGTTCTAACCAAGTTTTAATTAAAACCAAACTGTTTATCATATCTAAGTCTGATAGATAGATAGACCGAAAGAAAGAGGGGAGAGGGTTTGGCTAGAGCTAAAAATAGATCTCAGATGTATAATTTTGATGATCTGGGATCACTCAGATTAGATCAGAATCGTACACATGCAGGGTAATGATGAGGACAATAAATGAGGGAGAGAGAAGAACGATGGGAGGAGGCTTGAGAGAGAAAAGAAAAGAGAGAGGAAAAAAAGGAGAGATTGAAAGAAGCTTGGTTTTAATTTGGTGTTTCTGCATGCTCTTGTATGATGCCTCCAGCTTGAGAGAAAGAGGGGTATGTATTTTGGTGTCATGGAAAGGTCAGTCACTAAAATGTTACTGTTATTTTAGGTTGTTTTAGGCAGCACAGTTATGATTTGTTCTCTTGATTTATTTCTCCTTGAGCAGGACGATCTCAAAACAGTGAGAGACATTAAAGTTGATCGGTTCATAACCATGCTAGCAAGTCAGTTAGCATAGCACTTTGGAGACTGAGATTGAAATATCTCATCAAATACTAAATGGATTGGCATGAAATTCTGTAAAGTAAGTCCTTGTTCCCAGAGCATGAATCTTACTCTTTGTTAATCCACTGACTTTTCCTTTAGTTCTGACATTTCCAGCCCAGAGTGCAACTATTCTCCACTAACCATTGAATGAAATGATATGAAATTTAGTTCAGAAATTCATGTTCAAAATGAATTGTACTAACTCTGGTGATCAGGAGATTCATACTCAGCTCTACATTAATACAGACTCTATCTCCTCTTCAATTGCTCTGTCCACCACAGCATGAACAGCCCCATCGCAGCCAGAGATAAATTAATATTACAGCTAAAGTATAGCTCAGCTGACAACCAGTAAATAAATAAACATTTTCTGTCCCCCACTGTTTCAGTTCTACTTCACAGCAGCACAGAAAGACCACACACCGTAGCAATGGCCCCTGCAGTTACATTGCAAACTGTCTGCTTAGGTACCTCTTCAATCCTTTTCATTCTAAGAGCCTAAAAGATGCACGATAAATCAGTTACGATGGTCGTCTTGGTTTAAATAATGCACATATTAACGACTCCACTTAGCAAGGAGTGACATAGATCATTCATCAGACAGCCATGCAAACCGCTCTGACACACACAGACACACACACGTCCACAAACGCAAACACACACGTGGTGGCTCTTGTGCTGCCTTTGCCATTAGTCAAATGAAAAGCTCTTTAAAAGCAGGCTGAAAGCAAAAATAACTTTCACATCATTTGCTAATTTTCTGTGGTGATAAATTTTTTTACAAAGATATTAACAAATGTATAAACTTTGATTTTGTCTGTCAAAATCATATTAGTTTTCATTCTTAGAAAGCTATGTATCCTTGTGGTTATCTTACTGAAATGGCAGTCAAACAATGAACATTAAAGAAAGTACATTTTCAAGGGGACTGCCAGATTTAACAACAGCTTACTAGAATGGATAGGCGAATAGCCCCGTAAAGGTAGGGAAGCTCACTCATTTTCAACAGGAAGCAAATTGTCAGTATTTAAAGTAACTTATTTTTGTGAAGAACACAAATCTTTAAATAGAGACTCTGCTCTTCCATCAACACCTGAGTCAAGATTGTCTGTTTCTACACTGTATATCCCACTTTGTCTTTATCTGGCCCACTTTTCCTCCCCCCACATCCACACTGACTCTGTCACCTGTCTCCGTACTGTTACTTCATTTTTTCCTGTTCTCCTCTCTATTAATTTATATTGAGGTCTCTCTTACCTCTCTCTACCCCCCCCCTTTTCTCCCCTCTTTTTCTTCCTTGGCCCCTCTCTATTTCAGTGTAATGAGTAAATGCCTCATTAGCGCAGAGCTCTGATTAATGCCATCTCCCCTTGTTGTGCTCCTCTTTTTAATGAGTAAAATCTCTCTAAATTTCTCTCTTGCTCCCTCTCTGCCATCACTCTCCCTCCGTCTGTCTCTGCCTGTCGCAGCCTTACTCCAAATCTTTCTCCCTTTCTTCCTCTCTCTTTCCTTCACCACTCTTCTTTATTGCTTTTGTTTCTTTGTCTTTCACTGTTCTCAGCCTTTCTGTCTTACTGTTGGGAGAGAGGGAGAGAGAGAGAAATGGGGTTGGGTTGGCATGATAATTATTTCAGTACAGTCTGTATCAGTACTTTACTAATGAGCCTCTCAAACACAAACACACACACACACACACACACACACACACACACACACACACACACACACACACACACACACACACAAAAGTAATTATCAGTGAAAAGCTGAATCTGGCAAAATGTCATCCAAGACCAAGCAGGATGCAACGCTACTAATTCTGCTACTAATACTCTCTTTCTTTGTGAATGCAACAAAAGGGACATAACATGAAGAAGAATGTGCCTGAACTCCACCGAGCTGTTAGTTTGGCTAAGTTAGTTTTGCTAACCACTTGCAGATTATGGGAACAAAAGAAGCTGCAACTTAACTCAACTTGAGAAGAAAAAAAACAAGCAGCACTAATGAATGTATACAAGGCTTGTTTGGGAACAGCAGAAAGATTTTTAACAACAAAATATATGCAATATTACTGACAAAAAGTTTAGGCTGGGAGAGAAAAAGCAATAGAAAGTTGAAAAAGTGAATCTCATCTCCTCTAAAAACTGTGTAACAGTTGGTAATCTTGCTAGCAAGATTAAATATGCCTGCTTAAAGGAAATAGTTTGACATATTGGAAAATAAGAGTTTGGCTAGATGAGAAGCTTCCACTCTGGTATCTGTACGGTTAATATGAAGCTAGAGCCAGGCGACTGTTAGCAAACTTAGCACAAAAAAGTTAGCTTGGCTCTGTCCAAAGCTAACGAAATCCTCCTGCTAGCACCGCTAAAACTCAGAGTAAGACGTTATATCTTCTCTGTTAACTTGGCCAAAGTGTAAAAACTACACAATGTGGGTTTTGGGGGAGTTATGTGCTTGACAATAATCAGTGAGCTTTAGTAGTATTGGTAGGTGGATGTTTGTTTTTTTTACCTTTGGAAAAAGCCAAGCCCTTTCCCAGTCTGTATGCTTATCTAAGATAATTGTCTCCTCTAAGCTCCATTGTACCTGCACTGAAGCAATGACAATGTCAATGTCAATGTCATATTGTCTTTGTGGTTACACTTTTCAACATCAATACAAAAACTACCACACCTAACAACAAAGAGACCTAGAAAAGCAAGGTAGACCTTTATGTTTTCCTTTTCTATTGCCCTGTGTCTGAAGATCCTGCGCCTGTGCATGAGTTTATTGAGGTTACAGGGTCTGTAAAATAGCTTGAAACTAGACTGGTAATAAAAAAAACTTTCATCTCCTTTCTATTCATCCAGCAGCAGTGAGCTACCACAACAAGCCTCGCTCTACACAGATGGAGAATATGTGATATCAAAAAAACACATTAGAAATTAATCTTATTTTCTGAAGAAAGTATAGCACAAGTGTTTTGGAGATAATGCCTTTATAATAACAAATGATCCAAACATCCTGCACAGAGGATCTGGAGGCAAAACTCAAATTACTCCATACTCACCAGTGGAATACAAAACAATTAAATTGCAGTTGTGTCCATTGATGTATTGATTTTAAATGGTGGAATTCATCTAGCATCGCAGCATCTAATCCACAAGGATGACGAAACCATAGCTCCAAAATCATTTTGATACATATTAATCGTCATTGAGATATTAATCTGTCTGGGGATGAAAGTCCTGTTTGGCTTAATAAAAAAATATCAGCTAGACTTGTATTAATATTTCTGTGTGTATGTGTGTGTACATAGGTGTGAGTTTATTACAAAGCACCATTTTTGACTGTTAGTCTCAAGTCTTCACATATTTCCTCCCCTCTTGTCGTGTCTCTCACCTCTCTTGTTATCCCCCTCTCTGCCTCTCACACACACATATACACACAATAACACACACAGTCTATAATTTCCAGTGTGCTAGTTGAGGATCATGCACTCACGCTCTCAGGTCTTTGTCTCTGACTGTGGGCTAGTGCCGCTTCAATGAACCACATCTGTTTTTCCTCTGCCTTTCTCTACATCCCTCCCTCTCATTCTGCCTCCGCCCTTCTCTCTCTCTCTCTCCTCTCCCTCTCGATTTCCCCTCAATTTCCCACCTCTCTATTTTCCTTTGTCTTCCACTCTCATGAAGTGTAGGGGTGGAGTGGGAAAAGACCACTGAGAACGGACTTTCCTCTGATGGTCTGGTCAAAGGAGGAATGATGCCATTTTAATGTTACCTGGGGCTAAATTTGAGACTAGTTTAAGAGTTAAAATAAAAACTCTCTCTCTCTCTCTCTCTCTCTCTCTCGATTTTCCCTCTATTTCCCACCTCTCTATTTTCCTTTGTCTTCCACTCCCATGAGGTGTAGGGGTGGAGTGGGAAAAGACCACTGAGAACGGCCTTTCCTCTGATGGTCTGGTCAAAGGAGGAATGATGCCATTTTAATGTTACCTGGGGCTAAATTTGAGACTAGTTTAAGAGTTAAAATAAAAACTCTCTCTCTCTCTCTCTCTCTCTCTCTCGATTTTCCCTCTATTTCCCACCTCTCTATTTTCCTTTGTCTTCCACTCCCATGAGGTGTAGGGGTGGAGTGGGAAAAGACCACTGAGAACGGCCTTTCCTCTGATGGTCTGGTCAAAGGAGGAATGATGCCATTTTAATGTTACCTGGGGCTAAATTTGAGACTAGTTTAAGAGTTAAAATAAAAACACAGTCAGTCTGGGAAAAAAAAACAACAAACAACAAAAATTAAGATCTAAACCTTAAATAACTTGTTAAATAACAGAGCAACGTGGCATCTAAATCTGATTAGA